GTTTTACATGTTTACTTTAAATTATTTTTTCCAAACAGAACATAAACAGGTTCACACCAAAGTTTTATCACCATTTGAAGAGTCCGCAGATAAAAACCCAGTTGTGCGATCAGTAATCCTCAAACTGCTACTGAAGTTCAGGTAGGTAACCTACTATAAATATGTCAATGATCAAAGATGATTGAGACTAACAAGACAGGTATCTCACTGATTTAAAGTGTATCTTTTATATCAGTTGACGAGCATTGCTACTTTAATAAAACTTGTGATAAAATCTGTAAATAGATTTAAATTTCTTTACCTTACACTATATGATTGACCTAACTCTGTTTCAGCTTTGATGAGGTTCAGAAATATTTGCAACAACATTTTTCATCTGTTGAAGAAAGCAGATTTGTGGATGATGGGGACAGAGCAGAGCTCTATGCTTTATACATCAACTGCTTGGAGGTAAAACTAGAAAAATGCTGTCTTAATTGTATTTAACTGTGTTAAAATGTACTTTAAAAAGGTGAACAGAAAAGGTTTCAAGAAGAAAATTACTTACTTTGACAGTATACAGTACTCCACAAACAAAAAGTATTTCTCTAGAAGGACATGCTATGATGAATTGTGAAGTACAGAGATGCCTCTCAGAAAACAGAAACCTAACCTTTATTTCAGCAAAAGGAAAGATTAAAGTCCACAGTGTCCATCCAGTCATTCTTTCCTATTCAGTGTCTGGAGGGGAGCTGGCACCTATCCCAGCTACCATAGGTTAAGGGAAGGCTCGGACAGGTCACCAGCCTATCACTGGGCTAACAGATAGAGACAGACAATCATTCATATATAGGGGCAATAACCAATTAACTTAACCCCAATAACTGCATGCCTTTGGACTGTGGGAAGAAGCCAGAGTACCCACAGAGAGCCCACACAGACATATGGTGGATTTAAACTCAGGATCTTCTTGCTCTGAAGCAGCAGTGCTAACCATTCCCCAAACGTTCTGCCCAGCCATGCTGTACAATGTAAATAACAAAATCTAATGTGATCTACTGAACAGAAGGTTGGTGGTTCGATCCCTGGCTGCTCCAGTCTGCATGGCAAATATCCTTGGGCAAGATACTGACCCCAAGTTGCTCGCCGATGCATCCACCAGAGTATGAATGTGTGTGATTGGTAGATAGAAAAGACCTAAGCATAAAAGAAAATGGATGTGAATGGGTAAAAGAGGGATGATGTACAGTGGCTTGCAAAAGTATTCGGCCCCCTTGAACTTTCCCACATTTTGTCACATTACAGCCACAAACATGAATCAACTTTATTGGAATTCCACGTGAAAGACCAATACAAAGTGGTGTACACGTGAGAACATGAATCAATAAAATTGATTCATGTGTGTGGCTGTAATGTGACAAAATGTGGGAAAGTTCAAGGGGGCCGAATACTTTTGCAAGCCACTGTATAAAGCGCTTTGAGTCCTCCGGGAGAGTATAAAAGGACTATATAAGAATTTGTCATTTACAACCAGAGCAAGACAAACAGAATCTAACATACAACACAAGTGGGTGGAAGAACGTGAGATAGGATAAGAATTACACACTATTTATTTGTATTTATACACAAGAGGGCAACTGGGAGGAATGAACGCAGCTAACAACACACAAAGACAACGAGAAAGGAGGGAAGGTCAAAATAAATGCAAGACAGTAGAGACAAATAACTACCAAAACAAAACAGGAAGTTAGAAGTGATAACTAAATGGGTAAACAGAGACACATAAATGAACTTAATGCAGGGAAACTGATACAGGAGGGTAATATAAGAAATATTTAGGATGAAACTAAAGTCTAAGCCAAACAGGAAACTACGATCTCTAAGGAATGCCAAAAAATTACACGAAAAAACAAATATAAACACCAAGCAAAGTAAAAGTCAAACAGAAAACAAAACCTTTGTCTAAATAAACAAAAATTCAAAGTTCATAAACTCAAAAACACTGGGTCCAAGACCTACAAGCATTAACACATCTGAAATGCTGTTTGCTGCTCTTTTGTTGTTTTGGTGGTTGGTTGGTTGACTGATTGATTGATTGTTATTTGTCAAATAGACAACCTCTGAATGGGGTATGGTCTAAATGACAGCTATACCTCAAATTGATATAGGTCAGATGAAGTGACAATTAACTGGTGCTATTTGCAGGACTCCATCTGGGAGAAAATGCCACTGGAGGGCAACAAAGCTGCAGAGTTACAATGGTTTACTAATGAAACACAGTTCCTGCGCTTGTTTTTGGAAGAAGACACTTCTGCTGCAGCAACAGTCTGTATTCAACACCTGCAACATATTGCCCGATTGCGTGTGACGCTCACCATGGCTGCACAGCTCATCAGTGACAGACTGCCTGGTAAGCTATACGTTTCCTATTGTATTGCACTACTACAGTTTGCAGTGGTTTGCAGCTAAAACAATGTTTGTCATTGTTCCAGACGGAGCAGAAGATTTTCTAAACATGGTGAAAAAGCTCTGTGAGGACAGTGGAAATGACTGGTATCGTGTTTACCTCATCCGCAAGCTCAGCGAATCACAGGGTGTGGAGTACGTCCAGACAATGATGAAAAAACCTGAGTTCTTCTGGATTTTCCCTGAAGAGATACATCAGCAGGTAAAGCTACTGCCAAAAACTAGAGTATAGTTAAATTAATTCAGACAGTTTTATCTATAATGTGTGAGATCATATCAATAGTTAGGCACTGTATTGGGTAAGGAGACTCTACAATGTAACTCTACAATGACAGAAGCCCAGACTTGTTGATGAACAAGAACAAGTAGGGAGGAATGACTCCCTTTTAATAGAAAAAAAGCCCCCCTCCACTCAGGCCAGCCATTTCATTGGAAGAAGTTGGGCTGAGGGAAAAGAAGACGAAAAAGAAGAGCCTGAGATATAACGAACTAAGATAAACAGGGAAGATCACAGCCTCCTGGGGAGTGAAGACAAAGAGTGATGGCTGCAAAACCGTAGCTTATAAAGTCAGATTTTACTGTGTTATGGTCTGTCTAGAGGTGGCCAGACCACAACATGAAGGCTTCCTGTTCAACTGAAATTTTTTTGGTTTTAAGAAGTGTGAGCAAGCATTTTAGTGCAGTGTGTGAGGGTGTCAGTGGTGTGGCTTTGCAATCGTTTGTGTCAAAGATAAAATTTCAGTAATGTGTGTGTAAGAGGCTTTCAGTAATAATGTCCCGAAAGGCCCGTCATACCAGAACATCTCGGGTGTAATATATGTACTTAAACATGCTTCCTTTTCTGGTTGCAATTTTGGTGTCAAAAGAATGAAGATGGAGGCCTGATGGACCAGTATCTTGTGTATGGAGAGGAGTACAAGTCCGTGCGAGAAGCAGTTGCCAAGGCAGTAGTGGACGGTGATGTCGAGCAGATAGAAGACGCCTGTGAGGTATAAATATGAGCCAAACATTCTCTTTCCTGTGTTTCACTTACCTGTTACTATTATATTGTTTTGATGAAACCACAATCTGTGTGGTAAATTCATTAAATAATAATAATAATAATAATTTAAACATTTAAACATTTCTCATTACTTGTACAGCACTGCTAGTTACATTATAAGACCTGAGATACTTTGTAGTACTCACAATAGTACTAGTACTTTACTCTATATGCTCATTTTTATTTTTATTTTTATTTTACATTTATACTTTTCATTATTATTATTTTTTATACATTAGAGATGCACGGCATCACCAAAGAATCGGACAGTGTTTCTCCTGCTGGCTCTTTTCCGAGAGGTTACAACTCTGTACAGATCTGAAAACAGGGGTCTTCATCCTACTCCTGAGGTATGAATAATGAGAAAATTACCATCTGTAGCAAATGGATAAAGCATCAAGACTCTAGAAGAATTATTGGATTTTATTCAGAAAAACATGGATTTGGGGATTTTATTCTCAGCTGTAAGTGTGACGCTGAGTCTCAAAGTTTTAGAAATATAAATGAAGGATGATGATTTACAAACTCAGGGACAAAAACAATCATTTCCCTATTTTCTAAAACGGTGTGTGCTGCTCTAGCAATAATGTTGGTATGGGTGTAAACCAGGGAGCAGTTTGCCAGTGGAGGGGGGAACTTCACCCCCCTTCTACTCGACTCTGTCTCTGCTAAATGATTCTTTATTCCCAGTGGGGAATCATCACCCCATCTGATTTTTAGTACTGCATCTTGAAACAGTCTACAGTGAAAATGTGACAGGATGAACAGGATCCTCTTTTGTTCCAGCTTTTCATAAAGCCACCAAGCACTGCTGTTTCTGAGTGAAAACTACAATTAGGTATATAAAAATCAGAACATCAGAAGACTCACACAAAATCCTCAGAATATTCCTACTGAGTATAAACCACAACTTATCATCTATATCACAATTCTGAAAATTGTGAGTTGTGTAGCTTCTTCTTCTTTTATCTTGGTACAGGTTACCCACAGGCTGCTGTTTGCAGCATCCTGGAGACATTCTTCTTATGAAGTCTGTCTCTGAAAAAAGTGGGAGTTTTTTTTTGGCTTTGCCTGTTATGGTGCAGCTGCTGTGATGTGCAGTTAGACGGGAGAAGCCACACTCATGAGTAAAAAGAACAACCCTAACCTGACTGTCATTCACATATTTCAGCCTGGGGTCCAAAATGTTGTAGAACATGTTACAAACGGAGTCATTTATTGACTCTCAAACTCCAAATGTTAGTCGCTTATCTCAGTAAATGTCTGGAGATTGACAGATGGGATAAAAGAGGATGACACACTGAAGAAGATGATCCTCAGGAAAGCAGAAAAAGAGCATCATCAATGCAGAATGTGTTTTTATTAACTGCTGGATTTATTTACCGCTGCTACCAGCAGCACTAATACTATTATTAGTAATAAATAAATCCAGTAGTTCATAGGAAAATATCTTGTAGTAGCACCACATTAATTTTGTTTTTTCATTAGTCTCCATAATGTGTGTGAGGCTGAGCAACAACAGCCTCTCCCTGCAGCTCCACACTGCTGAGCTGTCGACCTCAGAGCAATGTTGCAGTGGGGCGAGGAAGCTAAAGTCATCACCGTGGATCGTCCTTATGATGAAGTTGGAAGATACACGGGAACTCTCTTAAGCAAGCTTTCTTGTAATGTCTTTAATTAGTCTTAAGGAATAGTTCTCCAGGTTTCTTGAAAGGCATTCAAAGCTGTTCTTTGGATGTTGGCTGCCTTTTGTTGTGCCATGATGATCCCACGCTGCTACAATAATCTTGTGGTCTGGGCTCCCAGGAGACCAGTCCAAACTTCCATTGTTTGTTTGTCTTTCCAATGTATTCAGTGTGTTTGAGATCACTGCCATACTGAAAGTTGAAGTTATTGTCAGATGGATCTAAAATTGCATGAAGGATCTCAAATTTGACGAGAACAATAGCACTGGCCGAAATGCCAACCTGAACTGTAGCAGAGCCTCCTCCTGACCTCCCTGTACATAAACCAAAAATGTAAAAATCACGTTCATCACATCAGATGACCAGACACTCATTTCTACTTTCTAGTATATCTACTAATATAAAATCAAATATGACACTCTGTTTAACAAATTAGTGCAATTATTAAGTCAATTATTCTTCCTGTTTTTGAGGGTGAAATTTTAAATTGTATTGTTTTTCTTACATGTCTTCTATATTCCCTAAAGCAATGTCTTAAATTTGATGACCTCATCGAGGGCTCAACGTATCTGCATCAAGCAGAAGTAAGACGATTTGCCTCAGCCTTGGTTTACAACAGGTTGGGAGCGCTCACTGTTCAGCCTGGTAGTGCTATCATGGAGAACACCATCACTGAGCTGATCATTCATCTGGCAGCTGTGCTGCTCACTGGGAATCATCACCTGCTAATGCCACTCAAGCATCTTGGTCTGTCTCCTGAAAATATGCAGGTAAACATCAGGACATCATATGTAAAAAGTGGATGTAGTCATAAAGATGTCACCCACTGCTCAGTGGACTTGTTAACTTAACAACATTACATTTATGTTACCTTTGTGCAGTTTCTTAGATTGTCATTTCATTTAACCTACAGAGGGCTTTTATACCCACAATGCCTGATGACATTTTAGCTGTTGCCCAGGCAGCCATGAATTCTGAGGGCCAGCTCACTTGGTATGGTAAGTATTACTCCTTTTATATATGCAACTAAAACATTATAAATGATCCTTTGTAGTAATTTAGGTTTTCACACAAACAGCCCTAAATTTAAATCCTTTGAAGAATTCTGCAACAGCAAATATAAAGACATTTATAGGGGATGTAAAGCTTTTTAAATTTTATTGTGGGGCAAAGTCACCAGACTTATTTATTGGATTTAGCTCATGATTTTATGCATGCAGATTTTATGTCCAGGTGACCATTAACTTAAGTTAATAGTGGTAATGGTTCAAAATAAGAGTGTACAGATGTGTTACCAAGATGGCAAGAAGGATGTGGCAAGACTTGGTTCTAGGAGCACTTTGCATAAGCTTGCCTGCATATTATGTTTTAATAACTCAAGTGATTTTTTTCCCATAGTCTGTCCAAATAATCATCCATGCTGCGTTGATATGGTAAGCCATTTTAATTCCGTTCCAGTTAATATATTAATGACAGTGATTACAAATATAATGTTGTTAATAATTGTACTATTTATGCCATCTTTCGCTGTAGTGCGGCATGCCCATAGAGAGAGGCCGATGTCTGGAGTGTGGTGAAGAAGTTGGAGGAGAACATTACGCAGTCGTGCCTGGATTCACAAAAGTTCAGTTGCATGAGTGAGTGTCATTAAATTTCAAGAAATTTAATGTACTAAACACCTTTCTTTAATGTCTTGATGCATTCTCAATCATCCAGGAAAATAAATCTCCTAAAGTTGATTCTGTTCATCTGGACGCTGCATCCAGATGAACAGAATCAACTTTTGGAGACCTTTCTTTAATGTTGCAGTGAAACTCAGGTCTTAAAAGCTTGGTTCCTAGTTAATTTATATTCATAAATTAATATATGAATGATATCTATCTATCTATCTATCTATCTAGACTGTAATTCACATTTGCATGATTTATTTATTTGACACTGTGCCTCTTCATTAAATCCTCAAAGAAAATGATCAGAAGAAGAAATTGGAAGCACAAGATAATTCAGGCACTGCTCATTTGTCTTTAGATGATAACAAAGACTGATATAATTGAATTGCTCCGTAAAGTAGCTTCAGCTGATTTATAAAAAAAAAAAACTGCAGAAGTTTTCAGTATATTTATCCAGTGATGTCAAACCTTCCACTTGGAAAAGTAACACATATTTGGACTTAGACTTGGAAAGGACTTAGAGAAAGAAAAATGTGCATGTGTGAATGTGTTTTCTACCATTAAAGCTGTGGCACTGGGAGTATACCAGCTCTTCTTCTTACTGATGCAAATCTGTTGTTTTAGGGATCAAACACGTCCCGGTCACATTCTGGGAGACCCTGAACGGAGAAACAACCCAGATGCTTTAGACACCAAACACATGTCTCTGACTCCCTTCACTCTGGTCAGGTTGGTTACACATTTGGCCATGATGCTGGGAGCCTCAGAGAAACCTGAGGTGAGCAGAATATAATTACTCTATCTTTGTGGATCCTAATCATTTTTAAATGAAGTATCTGAAGTGAGAGTTACTTTGTACAGTAGTGGCAATATCTAAGCAGCTTAAGTCATAAGCTGTTCATGAATAATCCACAAAACTCAATGAATGATGTTGCTTGTTTTATTACATCTAACAATGATGCTGTCACTCACTCTTTGTTCAGGTTGTCCAACAGATAATCCAGCCACCTGTGGAGGATGTCAGTTTGTTTCTCAGGTTGCACATAACAAAGGATCTTGAGCATCTGTCCCAGGCACTGGGAAAAGGAGCTGACGACAACGTAACATCTGTTCACTTGGTGCTCAAATCACTGCAGGAGCTACCACGGGCCAGTTCCAGTAAGTATCCAATCTTTAGTCACATGAACATGTGTCAAATATGGTCACATCTAGAATGACAGGAAGAAATAATGGAAGTCAGTACTTCATAAGAACTTGATTAAAATTGTGATTCCATTTAAGCTTAGAAAGAGTCTGCCACTCATTTTTGACTTTTCTTCTAGCTACTATCGACCCTTATCTTACAACCAAAGAATCCAGAAACACCTGGGAGACTACTGTGGCGACAGATATTATGACACCAAAGCTGATGGTAATTTGTTAGCTCAGTTTTTACCCTTTTTGTCATGAACCCCTTTTCACTCTTATCTATATAAACCGTCTTTTATACCCTTTACCAATATTTTGTGTCCAGGATCTTGACCAACTCCTACAAGAGGCAAAGGGAACCATCAGAAATGACTCACGTGTATCTTCCAACTTCATCATAAGGACGATCCACGGTGATGACTTTAGCTTCCTCACCTCACTGCAACAGGGCTCTGAGGTCAACAGCTCAGCAGTGTGGAGCTGCAGGGAGAGGCTGTCGTTGCTCAGCCTCACACACATTATGGAGACGAATGATCAAAAGGAGGAGCTCCCCCTGCTCTGGAGGTTCCTGCAGAAGGTGTGTGTCTCACAGATGTAAAGCTTTGATTGATCAGAATTCACCCATCCAGTCAAAATTTTACTCGATTGCATGCGTGAATTACTGACCAGACTGAGGTTTTTTTTATTTGTTTGTTTTGTTTTTTGTCTTTGAGGTAACACTGTGCACTATGGATAATTGCAAAGTTTTCTTTTTTTAAAACCTTTAGACCAAATGTCAAATTTGCCCTCATATATTATGAGATGGATGAGTACAATGTTCTTTGTCACACATTTCTAGAATAGAAATTGAATAGAATTGAATAGTCTATCTTTTCCCACAACCTTCAATTATATCAGTGCACCACCATGCTATAACTAATTATCTTTATATATTTTAAATGTAAAAGCAATTTTAAAAAGTTTCAGTAAGCTTGTTATTATTCTCACTGGTAGAATTGAAAATAACCAAAGATACACAGCCTGTGCTGTTGAAGCATTGTTATCAGCCGATTGTTTTTTTTGTTTTTGCTTTTTTAAGGAGAGAGAATTTCGGCTTATCAAATTCCTCCCAGAAATCCTAAACCTGCAGAAACGTTTGGTGAGAAAATACCAAAATGCAACTGAAGATATCGTGGGCTCCATCAGAGAATTCATTGATCAGCAAACAGGTGCAGATTATATGGACCTAAACTCTCTCCAAATGTGAACAATGACTTGATTAATCTACAGTACTATTTCTGAATAAATGTGAAAATCACAGTCAAAATCCTTTAAAGTTGGCTTTTGCTACACAGACAAAGCAACTGAAATATTTTTTATTCTGTTTGTCATGCAAATGTTTTTAAATTTGTTGTTTCAGAAATGGGGCAGCAGTATCAAAAACACATTGAGACCTTCTTGAAAACATGGAATCAGCTAAGAGTTTCTGTCACCAGCAGTAAGTAAAGCACTTATTCTACCCTTTGTCTGAACAACAAGATAATTTGTTGGTGCAGTTAAATCTTTTATTGTTCCTTTTATTTTGTATTTTTTTTCAGGACATTTTTATCAACTATACAAAAAAATTGCTTGATTTGACTTTGCCTTACTGGGTTTAAAATGGGAACAGTGGAATTCTTGATTGATTTTAGTTGCCTTCGAGAGCAAACATAATTCTAATTCTAAATGACTTTGTAAACAATAGAGGTCAAAATAATAGAAAAAGATCTACCACTGACCAATTACTGAAAACATATTATTATTATTATTTGTTCTTGTGATTAAATGGAACAGTTAATAAACACATATGTAGATTTTTGTTATATTTGAAATAAGGAATTATTTATCTGTCCTTTCAAAACTATAGATGAAATAAAAATTCCAGAAGAATTTTGCAGCAGCGATTTGGACCTGGACAGTGACTTGCAGTACCTCCTGCCCCGTCGGCAGGGTCCAGGCCTGTGTGCCACAGGGCTGGTCAGCTATCTGGTGACTCTCCACAATGAGTTGGTGAATGCAGTGGACCGTCACACACGAGAGGACAGCAGGTACTTTTTTAAAGCAGGTTATGTAGCTTTTTTAATCAAGCTGTATCAGGTATCCTCCTACCTGAACTTCAAACAAAGGGACAGATGAGTCAAATGAGTATCATTCAGGGGTGTTAGTATTAAAAATCCTTTCTTTCACCTGGGAGCTTGACATAGATACCCAGAGCGACATAACCGATTACTGAGTCAATGCTATTGATACATGATATATTGTAAATATAATACAGTTCAGTTTTGTTCTCAACAAAAGTTTTCTTCATCAAAATAGTTTCTTGCATTCTAGACCAACATGAGCAAAGACATGTGGGGAGATTAAACTTTATATCTACATTGTGGTGTCTGCAGTGACTACACAGTGAGTCTGATGGAGCTAATGGAGCAGCATGTGATCAGCTATGATGTGGAGAAGGATCTGCTTCCACTGGTTTTGTCCAACTGTCAGTACAGCTTGGAACGTGGCCACGAGACAATATCTGAGTATGACCTGCCCAGGATCCAACAGCAGATCCTCACCCGCTTTCTGCAGGGAAAACCTCTCATTACCCGCGCAGTGAGTCCACACAGCCAGTTAAAACATGTGTTCCACGTCTAAAATTACACAAACTTTGGCTGAAATTAAGAGTTCCAGTTGTTTTAAACTCTTGATTTCTCTCCACTGCAAAGAAGTTCATTTTCTGTTGAAGTTCTATTGTAATAGACGGCAGGAGGGCTCAAGAAGCAAATACAGTACAAACACAAATAGGACTAAGCTATTACTGTTTGTTCCACATATTTATGACAGCACACTACAACATGTGGGTTTTACATCATAAGTCCTCCCTGACAAAACCTCCAAGGGATTCTTTTTCCAGAATAAAGCCAGGAATCTTTTGTTAGGCAAAGTTGGAAACCACTGCACTATGGAGTTTGTTTTTATTGTGTTGGTTAACTACAGTGGGAAATTTTCATCATTTGACTCAAGTCTTGTATCTGTTCTATGTGATCTTACTTAGTTTTAAATCATATTTACATCTTTCCCTGCTTCACTTAACCCCCTGTGTTTTATTAAGGGAATTCCCACACTGGTCAATATGCAAGAGAGAGACTATGAGACCATTTTCAAAACTGTTCATGGAAAAGTGGCACAGGTAAAGTAATATGACCCGTATTGAGTTTACAGTAAAAGTGCTAATATTTGTTTGGGAGATATTCTTGATAAATGGACTTACTATCTATAATCTGTAAATGGTTATTACAGGTATAGCAGATTGATGTTTTGTTTATCACCAAATCGCATAAATATTTTGGGCCGAATAGTCACAGCAAATAAGAAAAATTGTCCTAACATTCATCTATAAAAGATCTACTCACACATCACACAGTTATATTGGGATGATTTACTTTTCAGTGCTTTATGACTTCACTGCTTTGTTTCTCTATCAGACGGCTCTGTCCCGTTTGATCTGGAACTCCGTGTCGAGACAGCTGGACTCTTACAGCGAAGTGTGTGAAGCACTGAAGATTGTGGAGCTGCTTCTGGGTTATCTCTCAATGACTGGTGGTGATCCCAAAATGAAACTGGTCATTTACCTTCAGGAAATACTAAAGATGGACCAAAATATTAATCAGCACATACTGAAGGTCATTACATGTACACTCTCTCACTCTGACCCTCCCATATCAAAAATCAGTATTAATGACAAAGCAAAGACCAGAGAGAACAAACTATCTATAAGTTGATCTTTAAGTTGATCACTTTTTTGCAGGCTTTTGGCAAATGTCAACTCAGACACTGTGTTTGTCTGTGGCAAGTCCTGTCCTCTCTCAGATCTGAAAAAATGCTGCAACTGAAAAGGGTAAGTTTTGCAGTATGTTTTGTTTTCAGATACAAATAAAATTTCAAGTTCATACACCACATGTGGTTTTTCACTGAGGATACATAAATTGTAAGTTTTGATCCTAAGCTCCTGTGTTAGCACTTTGGTCATTATGACCAGATATGTCAGTCCATCTACTGTATACATACAAAATGCATGCTTGCATGTCTTGTTAAAAAGGAGCCCTTTTCGGGGTATCCAGCCGAGTACCAGGTGCCACTGACTGAGGAAAACAAGACTGAGCTGAAACGATTCATGTCCAGAGGAAACATGGACCAGTGGCTGCTTGAGATGCATGAGTTCCTCTTGTTGCGCCTGGGCCGCCTACGGGCAACTGAGGACTACAATCCATCAAAGAGGTAAACCTGTTGTATGGTATCAGATTGTTTGTTCGGTAATGCCAGGGTTTTGTTTGGCCCTGACTTAGCAGGTGTGAAGAACAATTTACATCCTAAACCTCAAAGTCACTGCAGATGATCCTGTGTAGCCAAAATATGGATATATAAGAGTGATCTCAGAGATGCAAAGATATGCGTACAGTTATAGATTAGTCTGAATGAAGCAAAATATTTTCATCTAAGTATTAAAAACAATACTTATATTTAAAACTATGTTAGTTTGTCCAATTAATTTTCAGTTAATCAATCAATCTTAAAAATGTCCAAGTACTTTGTGCATATTTTACTGTCTTCAGATAAGCCTTGTTTATTCATTTTCATATCTGTATAGTGCCCCATCGTTTGGCCTTTCTGTCTATACCAAAAGTATGAATGTCTTTATTTGTTATAATGTTTTTTTGTTTTCCTGCTAAGTAAAAAATTATTTGCTCAAATGTAACAGTAATGTATTAAAATTTATATTTTCTTTCTTTCTGACAGTCTGAAGGTGGCGGTCAGTGCCTACATGAATCGTAAAGAAGTAGAAGTCCCTCCTTACGTGGAGGAAAACTTCTCTGAAAATGTGCAGCTGTCTCAGATAATTGAGACCTGGAAATACACCATCACAGCCAAACAGGAGTTGATGAATGAGTGATGAACGGAATGAGTGCATAGAGAGATATTAGTTATCTAAAGAAGTAAACAAAGGTATTTTTTCTGCATTTATTGATGTAATAATCATAGGATGTGTTGTGCTGTTCATTTGTTTTTTGGAATTATTTTAGAAATTCAATTCAACAACCAAAAACTATATTTACATTTTAATATTTTATTTTTCATTATGATTTACTTCTCTTGTGAATAGGTTGAATTTAAAAAAAAAAAGAGTAATATTATCATGCTGCAAGGAGTGAATAATATTTCTCCATCTAATAAGAAATTAAAGGTGATTGATACACAGAAAAAAGCAAAATCTTGTAATCCAATGTAAATGAATGTGCACGGTTCGATCATAAACATGAAAGGGGATGGTATACTGAGCATTTTACACTTTTTCATACATATTTTATTTTTCTTATATTTTAAAATGCTTTAAGTTTTTATTTACATTTGTGTAAGAGTTGAGATTTGCTACATTTTATGGGTTTTTTTAAAAAATTTAATAGTTAGATTTATCAGATTTTCAACACATGTATTAAACCTGGTTGCGTTCAGCAGATAATCGAGAGATGAATTGGATGGGTTTAGAGAGATTTTAGTTTATCAGTTAACTTTAAGTCATACTACTTCTTTGAACTCTTTTATTTATTTATGGTCTTGTTGATGTTTTTCTTGATTCGTTTATGAGTAAGATTAGAAATTACCTTTAACCTCTGTGAAAACAATGAAACAGCAAAGCAGAATAAACTCAAGCACATCCTCAGTGAGCTGCTCATGTATTCACTGTGAGAGTATATACAGTATGACTGCTTTGATATATTTTATATATCATTCTTTGATGACTATTTTTGTTTTAAAGTAAAATCTTTTAGGGTGAAGTAACAACAGGATGGATTGATAAACTAGTGCAAAAACTGCACATTTTCCATTTTTCTTACATGTTAAAAAACTATAAATGTTCATTTGCATAAAAGTGACTTGAATACGTTCATTTAAAGAAAACATTTATTTTACAGCTAAAGAACAAAATATGATTTAAACATAAACTAGTAAAGAAATTAATAATTGATATTTTTCTTTTTACATTTTACTAACAGTGTCAAATACTTTTTTCTTGCATCAATTTGAAAGTCAATATTTTACATTTTATCTGTTTTCTCTAATACTTGGATTTGAAAACTTAAAAATAACACTGAGGCTCAACAAAAACAATGATACACAGCAAGGCAGATAAAACAAGTGCATTATTTCTTCACTATGAGCCACCTGCTCATGTGTTGCATTTTGTCAATCTAAAAAAGTTACTAAGAGTTATTTAGAAAATTCAGAAATGCATTGTTGAATTTGACAATCATATAGTGTGAAACTTTCTTGATTTACTCTTTATGTCGAGGGATTATGTGCACATTTCTTCTTTTTTTTCTGCTTTCTTTTTTTTTATCAAGTATATTTTGCTATTGACCAACACTCAAAATTGTATTACTTTTTCTTACATATATCAAGTATCCTGTATTGATTATTTGTTGTGTATCTGCTAAAAGATTAAAGTACATTGGAAAATATTTCCTCTGAAATAGTCAATGAAGCAGCTGTTACACACATGTGACCTGAAATGTATTATTTCTGCCATAGTCACAGATTGTCAGTCACCTATTGAAAATTAACCCCTTTTTTTTGTTTTTGTTTTTTTTTAAAGTTCTCTATGGTTGTTTTCTGTGCTTTGAAGAAGTATTCATACATACTTTTTTGTCACCTTACAGCCCAAAACGGAAATATTTTTGATTAAGATTGTCAGTGACTGACCAACACAAAGTAGCACATACAGTGGGGCAAAAAAGTATTTAGTCAGCCACCGATTGTGCAAGTTCCCCCACCTAAAATGATGACAGAGGTCAGTAATTTGCACCAGAGGTACACTTCAACTGTGAGAGACAGAATGTGAAAAAAAAAATCCATGAATCCACATGGTAGGATTTGTAAAGAATTTATTCGTAAATCAGGATGGAAAATAAGTATTTGGTCAATAACAAAAATACAACTCAATACTTTGTAACATAACCTTTGTTGGCAATAACAGAGGTCAAACGTTTACTATAGGTCTTTACCAGGTTTGCACACACAGTAGCTGGTATTTTGGCCCATTCCTCCATGCAGATCTTCTCGAGAGCAGTGATGTTTTGGGGCTGTCGCCGAGCAACACGGACTTTCAACTCCCGCCACAGATTTTCTATGGGGTTGAGGTCTGGAGACTGGCTAGGCCACTCCAGGACTTTCAAATGCTTCTTACGGAGCCACTCCTTTGTTGCCCAGGTGGTGTGTTTTGGATCATTGTCATGTTGGAAGACCCAGCCTCGTTTCATCTTCATAGTTCTCACTGATGGAAGGAGGTTTTGGCTCAAAATCTCACGATACATGGCCCCATTCATTCTGTCCTTAACACGGATCAGTCGTCCTGTCCCCTTGGCAGAAAAACAGCCCCATAGCATGATGTTTCCACCCCCATGCTTCACAGTAGGTATGGTGTTCTTGGGATGCAACTCAGTATTCTTCTTCCTCCAAACACGACGAGTTGAGTTTATACCAAAAAGTTTTACTTTGGTTTCATCTGACCACATGACATTCTCCCAATCCTCTGCTGTATCATCCATGTGCTCTCTGGCAAACTTCAGACGGGCCTGGACATGCACTGGCTTCAGCAGCGGAACACGTCTGGCACTGCGGGCTTTGATTCCCTGCCGTTGTAGTGTGTTACTGATGGTGACCTTTGTTACTTTGGTCCCAGCTCTCTGCAGGTCATTCACCAGGTCCCCCCGTGTGGTTCTGGGATCTTTGCTCACCGTTCTCATGATCATTTTGACCCCACGGGATGAGATCTTGCGTGGAGCCCCAGATCGAGGGAGATTATCAGTGGTCTTGTATGTCTTCCATTTTCTGATGATTGCTCCCACAGTTGATTTTTTCACACCAAGCTGCTTGCCTATTGTAGATTCACTCTTCCCAGTCTGGTGCAGGTCTACAATGCTTTTCCTGGTGTCGTTCGAAAGCTCTTTGGTCTTGGCCATGGCGGAGTTTGGAGTCTGACTGTTTGAGGCTGTGGACAGGTGTCTTTTATACAGATGATGAGTTCAAACAGGTGCCATTCATACAGGTAACGAGTGGGGGACAGAAAAGCTTCTTACAGAAGACGTTACAGGTCTGTGAGAGCCAGAGATTTTCCTTGTTTGAGGTGACCAAATACTTATTTTCCACCCTGATTTACGAATAAATTCTTTACAAATCCTACCATGTGGATTCATGGATTTTTTTTTCACATTCTGTCTCTCACAGTTGAAGTGTACCTCTGGTGCAAATTACTGACCTCTGTCATCATTTTAAGTGGGGGAACTTGCACAATCGGTGGCTGACTAAATACTTTTTTGCCCCACTGTAATTGTTAAGTGGTACGAAAATGATACATTGATGTAGATAAAAGTTGTAGATAGGTTTAAAGTAGAGTTAGGTTACAGAAAAATATCCCAAGCTTTGAACATCTCCAGGAGCACTGTTCAATCCATCATCCAAAAATGGAAAAAAGTATGCTACAACTGCAAACCTACCAAGACATGGCCATCCAACTAAACTGACGGACCGAGCAGGGAGAGCACTGGTGAGAGAAGCTTCTAAGAGGCCCATGATCACTCTGGAGGAGCTGGAGAAATCCACAGCTTAGGTGGGAGAATCTGTCTGCAGGACAACTGTAAGTCGTGCACTATAAAGAAGATTAACAAGAAGAAAGCCATTGTTGACAGACATAAAAAGTCCCGTTTGCAGTTTGCCAGGAGACATGAAAGGGACACAGCAAATGTGTGGAAGAAGGTGGTCTGGTCAGACCAAAGTTGGGCCTAAAGCGCTACATGTAGCTGAAAAGTAACACTGCCTGCTCATCACCCTGAACACACCATCCCCACTGTGAAACATGGTGGTTGCAGCATCATGCTGTGGGGATGCTTTTCTTCAGCAGGGACAGTGAAGCTGGTCAGAGTTGATGGGAAGATGGATGGAGCTGGAAGAACCTGGAAGAAAACTTTTTTGGAGGCTGCAAAGGACTTGAGACTGGGAAGGAGATTTACCTTCCCTAAACATACAGCAAGAGGTACAATGTAATGACTGGGATAGCCCAGTCATTTCCTAAATCATGGCAATTCTCCTGGCACTTAACAGCGTACACTATATTACTCTGTTTGTGTCAGGGGACTAGATCTTTGGGTGAACTAATTTTTGGTGCAGCGTGTTTTTGGGTTTTAAAGTCACACAGACGTGGTGTTTAGAGTAAATGTATCTCAGCTGTTCCGATATTCCTGACACATAAGGGACAAGTAGAGGTTTCTGCTTAGGCAACAGTTGTCCTGCTCTCCTGGAGCCTTTTCTAGGTGCCTTCCCATCTTTGACAAAATTCCAGCTAGGATAACCACATTTAGGCCGGCCTTTTTCATATGATGTTCTTCTGCTTCCCTGGCTGCTGTATCTGTGTGGATAGTGTTCAGTTCAGGCTGTTTGAAGGATAAAGGTGATCATACCAAATACTGACTTGCAAGCTTATTAGAATTGTACAGACTCAGCATTTACTTTATACAGGTGAAACTCGAAAAACTTAGAATATCATGCAAAAGTTCATTTATTTCACTAATTCAACTTAAAAGGTAAAACTAATATATGATATAGACTCAATACATTTAAAGCAAGAGATTTCAAGCCTTTATTTTTTATGATTTTGATGATTATGGCTTATAGCTTATGAAAACCCCAATTTGAAAATCTCAGAAAATTAGAATATTACATGAAATCAATAAAACAAGGATTTTAAACAGGGAAATGTCAGGCCTCTGAAAAATATGTCTGTGAAGGTTCTCAGTCATCCAGATCATCGTAGTCTAAGGAGCTTGGAAAGAAAAGCGTCTGGACTTCTTTTCGTTGCTTGAAGACGTTTAACCTCTCATCCGAGAAGCTTCTTCAGTTCTAGGGTCAAATGATGGAGAGTCCCCGATTTAAACCCTGTGGGAGTGTTCCCCCCAAGAGGGACAAAAGGACCCCCTAATGATCCTCTTCCCAATCACTTGAGCCAAGGTGTGAAAACAGGTGTAGGTCACAATCAGCCAAGGTTTTGGGTGAACTCATTGTGAAACCTTTCCCCACCCTATCATGTGATTTCCTGAGATCAGATTGCCCAGGATGTGAGTGGGCGTTAAGGCATCTGGGAAGGGATCTCAAAACTGGATTATAGATGGCAGACAGTTGGTGTCATAAACCGCCGCCTCTGTTCAAAGATGGTCGTTCACAGTGGACATAAATGGCCTCTTTTACTCCTCTTTCAAACCATCTGTCTTGTCTGTCCAAAATGTGAACATTGGCATCCTCGAAAGAGTGACCTTTATCCTTTAGATGCAGATGGACTGCTGAGTCTTGTTTATTTTTGTTCAATTAGCAGCATGAGCTGTGGATACATGTAGAATTGTAAGCACAGTAAAAAAGCAACACCTAATGAAAAAACAAAACAGATCCCACATCCCTCCTTAGCAAGCTGTGTTGTCAGATTTCCTAACTATATTTCCTCCCACAGTTTGCCATATTTTTTCTTGACAAGCTGACATTGTTAAGTTTTTTTTTAAACAGGTGTGTCCTGAACAAAAACAGACTTTTCGTAAGTTAAACAGGCTGATCAGTTATGTGAGTTAAGAAGTGTAGGCTTGAGGATCCTCAGTCTTCTTGACCTCAGAATCACCACTTCAGAAAAACACTTAGGAGCTCTGATTTCTTCAACTACAATAAAACTTGCTTTAGTGCTGCAACATTTTGTACTAAAGCTCTGGCTATCATAGTCTGCTGAGATTGCAAACTACATTTTCATTCTTGGGCCTTCTGTTTATTTTCTTGATGCCTAAGATTAGCATACTTGGATCTATGCTTGTAAAACCAAAGGTTTCAAAGGTCTGGCATCAACTGTATTCCCCAAGCACCAGCATGGCCTCATAGCAAAGAAGACATACCAGCATGTTTCTCTGTAGCACAAACAAGCATTTGCATTTGCTGTCTTAAAATACTTTTCCTCTGCATCAACATTTTGGTGTTGCTGATATTCCTTTTTCTTTTTGAAACTCAATGACTTGACTGAAAAATATGAAAAAAAAAACCTTTTTCCTGTTTGGGAGAGCTAAGTTAAAATTTCAGGTTAGTATCTCAAAAGTTATTTGTCTTATTTTCTCTGAAGTTTGAGTTAGAAAGTTGACATTTTGAGATACTAAAATCAAAATGTTGAGGCACTTACCTGAAATTTTGGCTTCTAGATGGCAAGATTTTTCTCTCATTTTTTCTCTTTTTTTTTAGTCAGAGGTGGAAACCACTCTGAAACACGCTGCTGTTGAAATACTGCCATCGGGAGGCAGATGCTGTCATTACGTAGGACACAAAAGATTCATTGTGGGACATGTAGTTTACACACAACCTATGATAATTTTATCGCTTTTAACTTCTTGTGGGCCGTAAAATAATTTGGCAAGTGGGATTCACCTTGTGTTTGAGTGCGTTGTAAAGTGTAGGAGGGAGGGAGTTGGCAGTTCCCGTATTATTATCAGGTAGCATTTAGACACTTAGGCACACTATTAACTTACACGGACCCCTACAAACTTTCTGTTACTACACTAAATGTGTGAAACAATGAAGGTACGTTACACTTTTCCTTGTTGCTCTGCAGATTATTTTAATAATGCATATGGTGTTGTTTAAATAACTTTAACTTAAGTCTAACCCAAAAATTGTCAAGGAGCGGCTGTGTGTATGCAGGAGAGGACCCAAACGCACAACTCAAGACACACAGGGATAGACTCAAAAGGCACGGCTTTATTACCAGGAACACAAGGAGTCAGTAGCGGTTTTTGATACGGGCAGCACGGGCGGTTGCCCGGGGCGGCATCATGGTGGGGGGCGGCATCACGGGCATCGGCAAAAAAAAAATTGCTCATACTCAAGCTGCCCCGACTTCAGCCAGCGCATATTGGGAATGGCATAGGCACCGATCGGTTTTCTATCGCCTATTTCCTGGGAGTAAGGGTGCCCTACGTTTGCGAGGTGCGCCTGCTGCTTGCGGCGCAGGGAGGAGAGGAGAGGGCTGCGGGGGATTCTCTGGCTGGCTGGAGCAGCATCTAACAACCAACTCGGAAAATAAAACAAAATAAAAACAAAACAACAAACACAAAAACATCAGACATCATGATACAGACTTATATTTTGCACCGATGTTTTTTCGAAATTCTATACGTGAAAAGTGAGTGCGAGAGTCCTCGGTGCGCCTGCTTGCTGCTGAAGTCAAAGTAAACTTTATTGTCATCTCCGCTATATACAGTCCAGTATATAGAGAGACGAGACGACGAGGCTCCAGTTACAGCAGTGCAAGTAAACAAACAATAAATATAAGAAGAGTAAGAAAATAAATATACACTTTAGGACTCGGAGTAAAGGGATTTTAGTATGAATTTGTGTTCATACTGGAGTCCAAAATTAAAACCAATGGAAGATGGACAAGAAAAGTTCAAAGCCATCAGGTGCTCAGTTTAGAAAAAATAGAAAAGAAGAGGAAGATAAACGAGCAAAAGATACAGGTAAGCAGATGTGTCATTGGATAATGGCAGGTCATCCTGAAACAATCAGAATCAGAATACTTTATTAATCCCTAAGGAAATAATGTGGATTACAGTTGCTCCAAGAAGAAATGGTAAAAATAGTAACAGTAACAGACTAAATTCCAAACAATACATTATGTTACAGATTTTAATATTAATTAGTCATTGTCAGTTGTTGATTTGTCCTGTTCTCATTGTATGACGAATTATGATGGCTGTTTGGTAGCCGTTTGCATACAATGCATACTCTCTCTCTCTTTATGTGTGTTTGTGTGTGTTTCTCTAGTGAATTTCGACAACAGTTTTATGTTAATGTACAATCCTTAATATGTTTTATGTATGTGTGTGTGTGTGTGTGGGGGGGGGGGGCAGAGAGAGTGTTCGCCCGGGGCGCCAAACAGGCTAGGACCGCCACTGCAAGGAGTGGCACAAAACTATGCTGGGAGACTCTAAAGCTAAGGCACAGGGGAGACTCAAGGAAACGCACACAACCATGACGGAACAGAGGGAGATTCTGACATAAATACACAGAAGGTAATGAGGGACGTGGGAACACACGGGGAGCACAGCTGAGGACAATCCCCCGCCCTCTCCTCCCGGTGCAGCAAGCAGCAGGCGCACCTCGCAAACGGAGGGCGCCCTTACTCCCAGGAAATGGGCGATAGAAAACCGATCGAAAACCGATCGGTGCCTGTACCATTCCCAATATGCGCTGGCATGATGTCGGGGCAGCATGAGCACAAGCAATGTTTTTAATATTTTTTTGTTGCCGATGCCCGTGATGCCGCCCCCCACCACCACGATATCTATTGATTGCATGATTTGAAAAACAGCCACACCTTTCACTGTAAATGAAAATGAAAGTAAATATGGGAACGACTAAGCTATATCCTGTAGCACCAGACTGTAGGTCAGACATGCAGTGCTGACAATGTGAGGAAGAAGAACAAACAAGGTAGGACATCTAACAACTATCCTTACTGATAATAATAATGCATTGGGACATGCCCGAGATTAAAGTTTTGTGTCTGTAATATTAAATATTATCAGACGTGTTTTATTCGTCTTTCATTACAATAGAAATTAGTCATCTGTAACAGCATTTGACCGAACTGTATACTTCCTACTGAACTTCAGCATATCCCTAATCACCCTGTCCTGTATTATAATTTAAAGATAAAAAGACAAACATTATGAATCTAAATAAGTCTTTTTAACTGTTAAATGCTACTACATAATGCAAGATGGCCTAAATTAATTTCATAAAATACATCAAATAAAACATTCTACAAGATTTTTTTTAATGCAGTTATAATTTTTTATAAAGCAATTGCTAATTTTTTTGCAAAGGGAAAAGTCTGGAACAAGTTTTGAGTATAGGAAAGATAGGTTAAAGTTATGAATCACCCCCTCCGTTACTGTAAATGAAAGTGAAAATAACTCTGTGACTCCAGTAAGCTATATCAAATCTGTTGTGGTGTGTTGATAACACACCACAATTCTTTTTTATTACTGAGGCTTTTACAATAGTACAGCAAAAGTACACCTTCAAGTATAACTTCAACAAATAATATGTAACACATTTCCAATGCTTTAACTAAAAACTGAACATTATAAGATTTGCAGATGTATGCACCTTTTTGTGTTTTGCTCTCTTTATTTTTCATCACCATTGTAAGTACACCACAGTGTTTGTTACTGTGTTTGAAGAACTTTTTGGATTCCGTTACTGTGGAGTATACATACATACCCTACATGTATGTACATGCAGTGTTTTAATTAAATAACATCAGTTTAGTATTTATCACTAAAGTCTTGCCACCATGGATTGTTCACAGGGAATGAGATTATAAAGGTAAAAAGATCTAGTCTTTTAAAATACTCAATACTGCCACCTAATGTCCACAACTGAGCATGTTTTTGTGACTTTCTAAAATGAGAGAATATCATTAAACAATATCTTAATCAGAGTGTAAGAGAAATAGAATATGGTTTGTTAAGGTTCAATGAAACATACTGTGTTAAAGGTTTAAACTGATATTTTAATGATACATATTAATATTAAGAACAAGGATGTATCAACATTCCTTTTTTGTAGCTTTGCTATTTTTATGGTAATAAACGAAACATATTTGAGTTTTGAACAAAAGACAAACAAAAAGAAAAACTTATTAGATTACACTTTTGATTCTGTGTGTGAATATCAGTTGCTTATTAGACATGATAGGAAAAACAGCCAAAGGAAACACCTCTTTTACTGTAAATGACAATAAGAGTAAATGACTGACCAAGTACAGTAGACGGGAGCTGGTTGTTACACTTTCTACTATAGCATGAATAGCTAATCATTGAAACATCTTTCAAAGACCAATCCTTGTCCACCCTCTTCCAGGAATCTCTCCCTCTTTTACAGCCTTTACAACAGTACAGAACATCACCACTTTAAACTACTTCAATGATAAACATAAAAGTAACATGTTTTCAAAGCTCTCATCAACAAATGAACATTATGGAGCTTTAATTTTCGTGTGCTAAGACTCCATATTGCCTGTATTTGTATAGCGCTTTACTAGTCCCTAAGGGCCCCAAAGTGCTTTACACATCCAGTCATCCGCCCATTCACACACACATTCACACACTAAACACTAACAGTATAAGAAAATAACAACCAGCCAACTGTTATTCACATGATAGTCTTTGGGCTATTGATCTTTTACATAAATATTGTTAGATATCCCAATTCTTTGGTCTTTGGGCTGAAGATCAAAGAATTGGTGTTTAATGCTCAATCAACAATCTTTTTATTCTATACAATACTTTGAACAGGAGGGTGTCCACCAGATCTCGAGTTGTCTGACAGTTACGCACACTCTTTGCCCCCCCTTCAAAGTCATAAAACCTAAATATCCACAGGCCTTAGCTTCCTGTGCAGCATGTTTTGTTCTTTCTAATAAAAAAAGGCTTTGATTCTCTGCAAACAGCATTTCTTATAAATCAGCAGTACAATGTATCATAAAACAGTGTAATATCCCATTCCTGTTTTTTCTCAGAATAAAAAAATTTATTTTATTACATGTACTTGGGGATTTTCACAGCTCAGCATCCAACATCAAAATCTACTGGGGCAGTTCCAGCAGCACACATTGACACACAGAAATCAACAACCTTTGTCTCTAAAAACTAGTTCCTGCTGGTCCTGTCACGGTCCTGGGTCATTTTGACCCAGCATTTTCAGTTCTTATATTCCTTTGTATTATGGTTTGTATTCTGATCCTTTTGTCATGCTTTGTTTATTAGTATTATTCTATGTTTCAGTTATTCTTTGTGAGGGATTAGTTCTTAAGTTGTGTCTCTCGTTTAGTGTAATGGAAAACAGGAGGGAGACACAGCTGGGAGGGTTTGGGCTAACGAGACACGGGGAGCAAAGCTAGACACACTGAGATGAGGCACAACCTTTCACAATAAAATGGGAAACAAGAAACAGACACAGACTTGACACTGAACTGAACTTACACTAAACGAGAGACACAACTTAAGAACTAATCCCTCACAAAGAATAACTGAAACATAGAATAATACTAATAAACAAAGCATGACAAAAGGATCAGAATAAAAAACCATAATACAAAGGAATATAAGAACTGAAAATGCTGGGTCAAAATGACCCAGGACCGTGACAGGTCCCTCTCTATCTCCTGCCTCCCTATCTCGTGTCCTTGCTGCCCACTCCTTCGCACACTATGTTCTCCTTGCTTTGGCTTACCCCTCCTTATCCCACTAACAGCAGCTCTGTCGTCTCTGCTTCTTACATAAACCTCTGACCTATTCTGCCAGTTCTATGTGTGTGCTCTATGCGTAAATGTTTAGCAGCTTGACCTATGACCTACTTAAATGAATAACGACTATAATGCTTAACTATCGTTAATACAACTAAATCACTAATACTGCAATAATCTATTCATACAATATACACACATCTTCTGTTATCACAATGACTATGTCAAAATATAGATATGCATTCTTTTCAATAATGCGTGCAGTGTAGCAGTATTTAAGGTCTGACATGAAAATCATGTCACTGTAAATTGTTTATGGACAAGAATGTTAACACAGATTAAATGTTTCAAATTCATCAATGCTGCCGCCTATTTAACTTATTACAACATACAGAAGATAAGATGATATAAATCAATTTGGTAAAACAGTTTTTGAAACAGCTTGAATTATACTAACGATGCTCAAGGGCATTACAATGTTTCTGTCATTTATAATATTATATTTTGTTTCAGACAATCATGTTTTGCACCGAATGTGGAACTCAAGTGGACAGTACATTTAAATTCTGCCCTGAATGTGGCAACAAGTTATTTCTTTTGTCTCAAAAAAAGGCTCAAGGTAAGTTTCCTGTCATAATAGTAAAACTTCATTTGCAACCATAAAACAGTACTGTAGGTGGATGTTTAACTAGAATGAAAATGACACAGTGTTCTGATAATCATCTGAAACACAAGTATAGAAGTATAGTCATTTCCATTGTTCTTCCCCCAAAGGGAGGGCGTATGTAATCAGTTTTGTTTGTTTGTCTGTTTGTTAACAGCATAGCATCCACAGTTTTCTTTATTTTAAATTTGGTGAAAACTTCATAATACCCACATTTTTTAATGAATTGTCTTCAAATTTCACAACAATATACTAGGCCATAAAGGACACGAGTACCTAGGTTTGCCAAGCATTTGATCTCAACTTCCATTGCCGTCAAAGCTGACTCTGAAAAAAAATGCAAGAAACCATATCAAGTAATACATCATACAATAGGGCATGGAGAGAGCTGTACAAGACACTTTTTATTTTTCAGTACAGCACCCTGTGACATCACAAAGATGCCATAAAGTTTCACAAAATACACCTTAAAATCTTTAAAAAGTTTTACAGCTTATACAAGCCAAAGATATCAGTCCAATTTGCTCCATTCAGTTAATCACTGGGTAAAGATAACAAAATATAGCATTTGAAAATGTAATGCTTTGTGGTCATAGGTCAAAGATCAGGGTCATATGAATAAGGAAAAAAACTGGATCATCTCCAATGCCATGTTTACTGTGATTAGATATATATAAAACTTACATAGAAATAATTGTTAAACAGATGGTGCCACATCAACACATATAATTTCAACCACGACTAAGGAGAAAACCCAAAAGGAGGATCAAGACCAGGCTCCAAAAGAAGATGAAGGTATAAAGGAAAATACCACCCAAATACAGGTAAAACAAAACAAAAAACAAAAAAAGACTTCCTTGTTTCCTTCCTTTACACCAAGATTATCCAGAGCAGTAAACACGCTATTAAAAATACAAGAAAATGCTTTTGCAGACCTTCCAAGTTTAACTTTGACCAGTGTTTGTACTTTTGAGCACAAGGACCCAGGTTTGCTCCTGTTTATGAGTTTTCTGAATTTTATAATTGTAATTAGTGGTGTTTCTTTTTCCCTCTGCCATGGTTATTTTATTGTACAAATATCTAATTTGGTTTAACTCTAATTATTGTACAGTTATTCAAGAGTTATGAGTTTGACTTTCGTTTGACTTTCTTTTGAGTTATGTACTTGCTAGGCATTTTTTGACTGGTTTTACTTTCACTCTGTACTATGGCTAGTCTCTTAGGATCCTTAGTCTTTAGTTTTTGCTACTTTCTGTTAGTGTTTAGAATTTACAGTTTTGTGTCTGTTATTCTTGCCTTCCCCTGTGTCCCCTGTATTGTGTTAAGTGTGTGTTTCTTGCCTGTGTGTTTAGTTCTATGTTACTTCCTGCAAGTTCTTGTCTCTCGTGTCCTGTTTTTGAGCTTTATTTGTGTATGCTGATTACATTCAGCTGTGTCTTATTACCCTTGTGTCATCTCTTCCTCCTGTTCTTTTTTAACTTTGTAAATTTTATGTTCTGGACTTTCATCACAACATGAAAAGCCACATTAAAGACCTGCTTTTTGTTAACCCTCTACTGCATGGCTTTTTCATTTTTGGGGAAAAAATATTTCTCCCTATTTTGGGGGAGCTTTAGGGTCCCTAACAATATATCAATCATAAAATTTGACACCCTGCCCCCCCCCAAACAGATATTGGTTTGTTGCTTCAAGGCAACACTGTGCGACAAGGGTAGTCAAACACCAAGTTATTCTATAATAAGTTTTATTAGTACAACGAGGATGAACAAATAAATAAACAACAAATAAACAATGTAAACATTTCACAGAACAATAAAACACCAAAATACATCCAACATTTGATCATAACCCCATGCACGCGCGCACTTTTGGGGACATTACATTAACTTAAATTCATTTCCTAGAGACTTATCCTGACCCTACCCATCACAAGTCCCTGCCTAAACCTTACCCTAACCCTGACTCAAGCCTTCACCCTAAAATTGTGCCTGGTAGCATTATTTGAAAAAAAAAGTTGGGTTTTTTTTGAAGGGCCAGTGTGAGGCATGAAAATGTGGTTTGTTCCCTCAGGGCAACGCTATGCAGTAGAGGGTTTGTTATGCTGCTTGCATTAGTTTCCCATCTCTCTACCCTTTTATAGCACAGTAATACAAAAAGTGTTAATTTCTGCTTCTAGAAATTATCAGTTTGAAATGGTATTTCCTGAACTAACTGTGTAGTTTTTTTCAGGGACAGTTGGCTACTGATGATTCTGAGCTGGACAGCAAAGGTGCTGCATCATCAGATAGCAGTACAGACCCAGCCACAGTGAAAAATGAAAGTGCATCTTCATCTCTTCACCAGACACAGTTTGACAGTGAACTAGCAGTTTGTGAGGAGAAACAGAAGCAAAATGCTGTGGCTGCTGAAATTAACTCTGACTCATGCACTGAGGCAACACCTGAAACAAACCTGTCTGTTCCCACAACAACACCCTCCCCTACATCTGCCCACAGCAAAATAGCAGCACATCAAACAAGGGATTCATCAGATATAAACAAAGATGACACCCCGGATCCATATCAAACTCCTGCTGACAAGCTAAGTGATGTTCATCCTGGACCTTTGTCTAACTCCAAAGATTTCCCAACAACCAAAGAAGCTGAGTCTACTGTCCCTGAATCATCTGAGGACATATTAAAAGAAGCCAAAGCAGCAACGCAGCCTGCCCCACACCAAGATGCAAACAAAACAACATCTCAAAATCTCTCTCGGAAGACTGCTGATAAGAAAAACTCCATGAACGCAGATCAAAATACAGTCACAAAACAGGCTGACAGGAAAAAAGAACAAGTAGAAGGAGTTGAGACGTGTTATTCAGATGATCAAAATACCACAAAGTCAGAGAAGTCTTCAAGACCCAGCCCAGTAACAAGGGACACCAGCAAAGATACTGAGGTATTATGAGGTCAAACACAGAGTTTTAACCTCAAACTGAGGTTTATACCGAAATACAAAATCATAGTATGAGGAGAAAATATTCAATCTTATAACAACAAGAAACATATATTAAGGAATATATTTATCCAGCAATAGTTAAACAGGAAACCATAGATTGTTCTTTCTGGAAGTAAAACATTGTTTTGTCTGCTTGTTTTACACTAAACTTCAACTGCAGTAAAAAACAAAGTTTCAAAGATAGAAGAACCGGTTTATCCAGACCTTTAAGTTCATCTTCCATAATGTCCTGTTTATCTTGTTCAGACAGTGTACTAACTTACTGGTTCCCCTTAGTTATGAGTTTGCAAAGACAAACATCATGTTTGAACTAAAAAGTGGCACAACTCTGTGTGTATTAGAGATAACATGTTATTAGGATTAATTACAAAAACAGTGTAGGCTCTGCTTCCAGAGAAACCCTATCTCAATAAATACTTAAAAATTTTAATAGGTATTTGGTGAACTAACTCTGTAGCTATTCTTTAGGTACAATTGGCTGCTGCTGAATCACAGCCAGACAGAGAGCATTCTACAACACCAGACAACATTGCAACCCAAGTTGTAGCAGAAAATGGAAGCAGATCCACATCCCTTCTGCAGACACAGCTGGAAAGTAAATTAGCTACTCTCCCTCAAGGTATAGAGTCTTGTAATAAGAAAGAGGGACATCTTGCTGTGACTGTTGAAAGTGACTCTGAATTACGCAGTAAGGCAACACCTGAAACAAACCTATCTGTTTCCACAACGGCGGTAACAAAGGACACCACCAAAAGCACCGAGGTATTATGAAGACAAATACAGAGTTTTAACTGACAAACTGAGTTTAATACAAAACCACAAAATTAAAACATGAGGGAAAAGATTTTTAAAATGTAACATTTCTGAAATGTTTTTTTCCGATCTGAAACCAATTTACTAACATTAATTAATATCCATTTTCATAAGTAGAAGGTGAAAATTGACATATTGTCGCTCTACATTAAACATATTTTTCTGACTACCAATCAGACTCTTGTAGGACTTAAGTTTTATTTTCTTCTACTCATACAGTATATAAAATAAGAAATAAAACTGGTTTGTTTGTTTTTTTTACATTTTTTTTTTTACATTTATAAGGCTACTTCCACTAACTCAAATAAGGACACAGGTGCACATCTGGCAAAAGAACAGCAACGAGGCAAGAGAGATGTAGTTGGCTCTAGGCCACCAACTTCACCCTGCCCTCCCCATCATAGTGATGTCCAAGTGGGCCATCAGAGACCACAAAAGTAAGTAACAGGATGTAGAATATACATATTTGAGTTCATATTTTTAACCATCAAATTATTTATTTGCCTTTTTCCTGTTATTCCAGTTCATCAGTCAGTGAAGGAATATCTGTGTATTTTCACGTTGTCGTTTCTAAAGAATTTCACTGGGATCCAGAGAAAGACGTTGTTGTGTTAAAATCTGCTGCACTGTTAGGAAGCTGGGATGGTTCGATCGCAATGTTCCCCAGGTATAACTTATTGTTGTTATTTGTTTGTTCAAAAACAATGTTTTTTTTTTTAAATTCTCCACGGAAAATCAGTGAGACTGAATTTAGATGTGATTAAATATTCCTATTTTTGCCAGTATAGAAATTATATTAGTTTCTATCGAATTATTAGATTGTCTGTCATCTGTATGTCCCATCTCTAACAATAACTTTCTGGTTATTAGGTCTCTTGGAGATAAGAGATATCTTGTTGAAGGACATATTAAAATTCCCAAGGAAAGACTTCATGAGCGTATACCCTACAAATATGCAGTTCACAAGCACAGTAAAAAGGAGTTAATTTATGAGGCCATCTACCAGGAAGAGAAAAATGACTACATCAACAGATGCCTGTCGATCAAACAAGGGCTTTTAACAAGAGAAGGTATTCTAAATTCATATTATTGATATAGATTTTGCAAATATTAGATTTAATTACTGTATTTAATAAATGCTAAAAAAACAAAACAAAACTGAGAAAAACAATGGTTCAATAGTGGGCTTTAATGTATGCCCAATTTTTAGACCTATACTAAGAAAGCAGTCTGCTTTGATGATGTCACATCCACAAGAGAGCAAACCCTTTTTCACCTCCATCAACTGCTAATCTCCAAGTAAGGAAGGAGGCAACCTTTGGTCTACTTGGTCAAACAGCAGACATTTTCACTAGAGAGATGTTTATACTATTTTTACTGTCTGTGAGAGTATGGTTTTATTGTAACGAACCCTCTGCAGTCAGTTGTTGACACTAGAACCACAATTTGCACATATTCTCTCCTCAGTAAAGTCTTCCTTGATAGTTTGCTAACTATATGTAAGATATTCATTAGATTGAGAATTTGGTGAATTTTAGCACTGAAAGCGCTTTATCTACATGCCTCATTCACCCATTGACACCCATTCATACAGGCACAGTTTTTCTAAATTTAAATGCTTTCTCTCTAACATTCACACATATTTACACTCTGATGAACACTTCAGGGAGCAACTTGGGGTTCAGTGTCTTGCCCAAGGATATTTAGGCATGCACACTGAAGGTGGGAGAAGCCAGGGACTGAACCACCAATTTTAGTAGATGACCTGCTTTATTTGTTTTGCTACCACCTACACAAGAATCACCTACACTTGTGAAGCTCGCACACAAGAATTTCACTCACATGTACTGTACCAATGTACCTGCACATGTGATGTGACAATAAAAGTGATTTGATTTTGATTTGAAAGAGTATCAAGAGAGTTTACGGATGACAAGCAAAAAAGAGCTGTCAGGTGCTCAAAATAAACCTTAGACTCAAACGTTAGAACAGGCATTTCCCCGCAGCATGCCATGTAATAAATATTGACAAAGAAAATGACGGCCCATACAACTTATATCTAAAACTATATAGTTTCATGCATGGGTCAAAATACTCAACTCCAGGTACACGAAGCCCCGCTGAAAACACTTCACACAAATCGAGTTGCGAAGATTCACAGAATAAGATAAAATGTACTATTTTGTGATATATATCGTTATTCGGGACAATAGATGTCTTATATTGGGATATGAGACTTTGGTCATATCGCACAGCCCTTCAGGCAGGAAGAGGACTCAAACGTAGGACTCATGAACAAAAAGGGGTAAACTAAAAGAGGCAGCTTTATTATGCTGTGACAAAACTCAAATACCAGAAATAAGAAAACATAGCCCTAAAACTAAAAACTAAGACCAAAACAAACTAGAAACCTGGGAACTAGAAGCTAGGACCTAGAAAATACAAAGGAACACACAGCACATGGAACAACATAACAACAGGCAGAGGAAACACTGAGACAACGAGACAGGACCGACTGAGACAAAGGGATGGTCTGGACAGAGGGGATGCACGAACATAGAGACAAGAAAGACTAAACATAAAACGCGGAATAAAGGGGAGGCACAATAAAAGAAACCTAGGGAGTAGAAACTATAGAAACTATATAAAGTTCTGTGGTTATTAAAATTCAATATGCACAAGCCTAAATGTTCTAATCTTATATTCCCCCAAAAGTGTAGAGGATCAAGCTTTAAAGCAAGATGTTCAGTACATAATAAATCACTGAACCCCAATCATCAATAAATGCACCCGGTATTGGCCAAAACAATAGTATGAATGGACCAACTGAATAATAAATGTAACCATTACCAAACTTGATGTATTTTGTGCTTCAAAGGTGAATGGCATCAATATGATGATATGATCCATCCCAAATTAAGCACTGCCTGGTACTGGAATACTGCAAATAAAACTGTGATGGAAGGGAGAGATCAAGCTGGCTGGGAGATGTTAAAAATAATCTTTGATCTTCTCACAACCTGGAATGAACAAAATGTAGAAAACTTCTTTCTCCTGCTGCAACAGTTCATTCATACATACTCCTGTCCTCTACTTCATGATGGTATGGAAAAACGGTGGAGATTACCATATGGTTCAGAACAGGTAAGTAACAAGTGTTTTATGTTTCAACATATTACATCTATAATCCAACAGTATAAGATAAAGTACTGAATGTTTCCAATGTTCCAATGTTTTCTGATATTCACCCTTTGCCTTTTCCAGATTAAAAACCTTCTAAAAAAGTTTCTAGAGGAAATTATTGGTCTTAGGGCCAGAAAGAAAAGTGAAACAGTACAATACTTGCTACCAAATCTCCATGCAGGGATTATTGGTTTGCTGGTCTACAACATGCATCTGAAGGACAGAATGAGAGATAAACTTTCCATTCTATGCAGTCTTCTTTGCCTGCCTGAATTGGCGCAGGGCCAGTTTGCCACTTTCTGGGAAAACTTTGCAAATCCTTTGACAGATAAAAAAAGGTAATTAGTATGTGGTTTATTTTTAAGCATAAACATTGTGACAATGATTGTGTTTTTACAAAGATAATATGGGAGACAAGAACAACCCAGTTTTAAGTTAAAATTTACTAAAACATTATAAATTGTGTTTGTTTACATACAATAGTTACAACACTGCAATTTATCATCACTTTGGAATCCAGTCACCTATAATCTGATCAACCTGATTTGACTTTGGTGCAACAAACAATCTGGGTTTTCCAGTGTAGTGCTCCTGTTAAAATATCTGGAAAAATGAATGTCTCCTGTCCTGTGTTATGTGAATTTTTTGCTGGTCTTGTATGTTTACTTATCTCTCGACTTATACAGAGTTGCAGATGCGCTGGAGAACCTTTGCCACACTGCTATAAACCACCATAATGAGAAGTGGATCTTGGTCATCCCTCTGATTCATCTACTGAGAGGAGAAAGCAAACCATTTGAGCCAGTTACCCCAGTCTTGAATCCACAATCTGAATCTTGGAGAGGCTTGAGGGGAATCAAAGGACCCAGCTACGCACAGTAAGTGCTTATCCCCCATAAAGACATTAAAATGTAATTAAATTTGTCTGGTCCCATTTATCTGCCCTGACCCTAACCCCTTTAACTAGAAATCAGATTGAGATCATGAAAGAACATGCATACCTGGCAGCCATTGATCGTCTTCTTGTGCACTCTTGGATGTGTCTCATACGGGTGGATGACCTAATGAGCTTAATGTCCAGTCCAGTGAGAGTTGAACTACTAGACATTCTTCATTATTTGCAGTTCAGCATCAGATCGGCCATAACTCAACCCATGTACAAGGTATTTATTCTTAAAACAGTTATTTTGTTTTAATAAAAACAGAGTTTTAAATAGCAAAGTGAAAATTAAAATTAATATTAATAACAAGTTTTACTTATATTTAATATTATATAACTAAGTAATGCTTAGGTATATAAAATTAAGTTGTCAAATAAATATGTAACTTCCCTCAGTTCTATAGAAATAAATTATTAATTAATAATACTGTTTAATTAATTATTATTAACTAATTATTTTTAAACTAATTCCTTTTATAATTAGTTAATATTATTAATTATTATTTTGCTTGTCGCTGTTTTTAATAAGAAAAACCTTCTTTCTCATTTTTGTGAGGGGGTTTATGTCTGCTATGTGACAAGAGACTGAGTGTTGTGTTCAAAACTGCCCCAAGCCAGATAAGATATATAAATAAAATAAATAATTAAAAATAAAATTAAACAAAATAATAGTAACCACAAGTAGCAACCCCAAAAGTTTAAAAATAAAAGTCAACACTGACTTTTGATTTAATACAGGGTTATAATCCTCCTCTGCCAAGGAATGTTTTATTATGCAGTTTCGTTCTGGTCAGTTTTGTTTATAGCACTCAACTGATCTGATATGTAAAGGCCTGTGATTGGCTAAAGTCCCTTGTCACATGATATATTAGCCTAAGCCTAAAAACAAATTTCAGAATAGGAGCAGGAGCTGAAGTCTCTCCTTGACCACACTGATTTATAAAATGCTGAAAGGCTACTCTATTTTATGTCCAGTGACATGTGTGTTGTTGCCTTCAACAGCTATGTTTCTTCATATTCAATAAATATCTACTATGATTCTGATTACAGGTTCTGATAAATTTGATATCCCATGTCATCAAAAGAGAAAGTCACCAAAATAACAGGTACAATAAAAAGCCTCTGTTTTTCATTATAGCCAAGTATCTGTGAAGAAGGATCAATATTGATTTTTAGTGTCAGTGCTGATGGCAGTCTTTCCTCAAACAATAATGTAATGTTTTCTTCTAGTTTCGATGACAAAAATGGAGAGTGTTGCCTGAAAACTGCAGTAATGCTTCTTGGCTCTGTCTGCAATTTCACAAAAGATCCAAATTAC